GGTGTCTTTGCTCCTGCCTGCCTCTCTGGACAAAAGGGACAGCTGCTGTGGGCCCGTGTAACTTATGGGGCCCGGGGCAGCTGCCCCTTTTGCCCTGCGGTAAGACGGCCCTGGTATTAGGTATAATTACAAGTCCTTTTCTGGGGTGGCAGCTGTGATCATGTAATATGAAAGTTGTCACTCAATAAATTATGTATTTATTTATATATTCCTGAAATTGTACACAGTGCTTTACAGAGTACATACACCTATTCACATCGGTAGAACCCTTTTACTGTTCCCCTCATAATTAAACATCAAGTCACCTATTGAAACCCCTCCCCTGACCCTTATCGGCTGTATGTGGCCTATAACATTATCTTATGCCATGGTAGTACATCAGACAGTGTATGGACAAAGGACACAACACTATTACATTATAGTTCAGCGCTTAAAGGAGAACTATGGGGTTAAGGCTTTTCCCCATAGTTCTCCTTAGGGTCACGGGAGGACACAAACTAGCGTCCTCCCGTCACCCCTCCCGTCACCCTAGGCTTGCGGTATATTGAGACGCCGCAGCTGAAGCGGATCCCGACAATTATGTCTGGATCCGCCCAGCTGCGTGACTGACAGCTGGCTCTGCCTATCTAGAGGCAGAGCCAGCTGTACCCGCCCCCTCTCCCGTCCGTTCCGCCAGTCAGCGCTGGCGGATCGGAGTGGGGAGGGGGGAATCCAGGATCGAGAGATGAGCGAACGCCGGTATGTGTTCGCTCACCTCCCGATCTACTAAGCCGTCCTGTGACAGTCTCATTGTCACAGGTCGGCTAGAACTATGAGGTTAGTGATAAGCACTCACCTCATAGTTCTCTTTTAACTGAAGCTCCAGTAAAAACTGTGACTGATAAATTTTAACAGCTTATGATGGAATGTAGTTTTATACCCTCAAATTTGAGTTCGAAAAGCGCTTTTAAATGACCAACACAAAAAACCTTTTAATGGCCCTGGTTCACACCTGAGCAGAAAAACGCCAGCAGGAAAACGCCAAACGCCCGAAAAGTTACATAAACTTGATTGGGTAGTTAAAAGCGCGTTTTTTGCCCCATAGACTTCATTGGAAATGCCCAAAAACGTGCAACGGAAGCATGTTAATAACATGAAATCACCTGCACTCGATACAGCATACAGACCTTAACAGAGGGTTGGTGCTTGACGTGACAACACGGATGGCGCCATGTCAGGTACAGTCCATAATAAAGTCACCAGCACTCGGATGGTGACTTCTATTATGGGCAGAAGCATATTGCACATTTTTGTGAGCAGTTTTGGGCGTTTAAACGTGCGTTCTTGCATTGCCTGCAATGTTTTTGGAGATGCCAGTGAAAACGCACGTCTTCATGTACGTGCGTTAAAACGCACACAAAAATTGCACAACGCGCATAAACGCCCAAATAACCGCATGCTGCTAACGATGTTTATCGCAAAAAAAAACAGCACTTTCATGCACAGAAGCAGTAAGTGACATTTCTGGGGGAGAAACTGTGCAGAACTGTGTACAGAACTCTTCCAGGTCACCATATTACATTTCATTGTTGACAGTTTTAGGAAATTACAGAAGCTAAAGTTTTTAAATGCAAACAAAATGTTTTAAATTTTTTTCTAAAGTGGAGTTGACCTTTAGGCCTCATTCACACGAGAAAAGGCCGGCACGTACAGCTCCGTGCTGCGTGCTTGGTAATATGGGGCAGCTCCCGGGAAGGACAGGTGCTGCTTGTGATTGGTACACAGCCCCTGTCCTTCTCTATGGTACTACGCGGCCATATGCCCCACCCTAGGCTCACCTCAAGTGCACGTCCGTGGCTCTGACGCAGACAGGATTCATCCTGCCAGCGTACAAGCTTCCCCACTGTACATTTAGCCCGGCGCCCGGAACTGCATGTCCTGGGCATCGGGAGATAGGACTTCCACACCCCTGCTGCCCCTCTACTCCCTTCTGCCCCGAGGCCGGGACATGGTTGGTCTTGTGGGAAATCCAGGCACTGAGTACGGACACCCACACCCGCACGGACGTGCAGGGCGGGTGAGCGTAGGGCGGCGTACGGCCACATACTTCTATAGAGAAGGACAGGGGCTGCGTACTAATCACACGCAGCACCTGTCCTTCCCAGGAGCTGCCCGATACGGCCGCGCACGCAGCACAGAGCTGTAGGTGCCGGCCTTTTCTTGTGTGAATGAGGCCTAAAGGTCTGATTTTGGGTGAATTCATGATACACCGCAACCAACACTCTAAAGTAGTTTAGAAGGGTGGAAACCTATTAATTGTATCTGTTTAGAAAGATTTTTAGGGTCAATTCACTATTATCCAGCACTTTGACTAAACGGTGGCGATCCCTCTTTAGATAAATAATATTGTCTCTTTAAAAAAAAAACTAGCAATGGCATAAAAAGTGGAAAAAGTATAAATGACATTTTCCAGGCCACAAACCAGTGCACTGATAGAGGAACATGAACCTCACACTTGTAATATCATAGTTTACCATGACAACAGTCTACAAACTTTAAAAGGTAACCTAGCAACGGGGAGCTAATAACAATGATCTAATAGGATGAGTTAGCAACCAGATAAACAAACCCTTATTGTAAACAGCACATTACACATGTACTATAATCCCACTACAGGAAATTGCTTCTATCAAATCATAAAATATTTTATTTCACATCGCACTGGTTGGCATGACTTGATATGTGTGTCATAATCAGTTTCTAAAGGAAGTTTGGTATTTGATTGAGGTTGCTAGCAATCTGTAAGCTTCTAGATAGAAATATAGATTAGTGCTTTTTTACAGTGCAAAAAAAAAACCCTCTAGAGCTGCTTTCCAAAAACATCGGGAAGAGAATTTATCAAAATTGAAGCAGCCCATGGCAACCAACCAACTTCTCTTTTATATGAGGGGAGTTTATCAAAACTGGAGCAAACTAAATCTGGAGCAGCTGTGCATGGCAACCAATCAGCTTCTCTCTTTCACTTTCAAATCTTAACTGAAGAGAGAAGTTGATTGGTTACTATGGGTTGGTTACTATGGGTAACTACTCCAGATTTTGTCTGCCCCAGTGTTGATAAATTCCCCGCAGTGTGTTCAGTTACGTTTTAATAATGAAAGATAGAAGCTGATTGGTTGCCATGGGCACCTGTTGCAGTTTTAATAAATTCCCACCAATTTAATGCAATGTATTGCACATGTAGGGGGCAAATAGTGCAATGTGCTAATGCATGTATGGTGCGTTGCTCTTCATTGTGGTATAAAAGCACTTTACTGCGACGCACCACCATAGACAGGTGTAAACGGACAGAAGTGAAGCTGCTGAAAAAAAATAATGCTAATTGCTAGGCTTTGCATGACGGAAGAGACTGTGTAAGTCTCCTCAGCCATAAAAGCTTATTTCTAGCTTTAACATATTGAAACTTATATATATATAAGATTTTAATAGATCGGGAAGTGGGCGAATGCATACCGTCGCTCGCTCACTTCTCCATCATGCCACGGCTTCCTGCAGGGATCCCCCCCCCTCCCTGCTCCGATCCTCCAGCGCTGACTGGAGGAGCGAACGGGGAGGGGGCGGGTACAGCTGGCTCTGCCTCACGATAGGCCGAGCCAGCTGTCACTCACGCGGCTGGATGGATCTTTGCTACAGCAGGACCCTTTTTGGAGCGGATTTAGCCGTGATTCAAGCTTGCTCAATGCAAGCATTTGCGCGATATCGCGCAAAATGCAAATCGCGCAACGAACGCGCGATTTGCGAACCGCTCAATGTGAACGGGGCCTAACACTGACTGTACAAGCGCGCTCCCAACACACTGACCAAGCAGTCATTAACAACTCTTGGTCAATGTTTACAATAGTGAGCCAATGGAATGGGCCCCCGACCATGTGAACGCTGTGACAGCCAATCACAGAGATCACATGATCAGTACGCCCGCTTTCCGAATCTGGACCTTAAGATCCTTCTAAAGGGCTGCTGGAGGGAAGAGGTTAATAATTGAGTTACGCCTTCTTTACCAATTAATAATGAGTAATTCCAATATGTATGCCTAGAGAATCAGCAATGGCTAATACTGTATTTATAAAGTTTCTGTTATTAGTGTTAGATTATGAGTTTTCACTTGGCCAAAAGCATGTAAATGTATAATAAATCTAATTAAAACTATTAGCTAAGAGAGCTAAAAACAGAACAAAAAATTTACAAAATTAAACACTTGGAGAATGCGGGCATCGATCCCGCTACCTCTCGCATGCTAAGCGAGCGCTCTACCATCTGAGCTAATTCCCCTCACAAAAGTTGAGGGGCACCATGATTCATCAGAGCCTTCGCAGCACGGTGTATGACGTATTAAATCGCAATTTCGTTATTCATAACCATTTGATTGGGAATTAATGAAATGTGACAGTTTATGACTAAAGAATATACACGTTATTTTGCTCAGTTCTTTATATAAAGCTTTAATACGACCGCCATGTTATAAGTATGTCACAAATATCTTCGGCTCCTCGACGACATGAAGTAAACAGCAATCTCTCACTACAACTATTCAAGCGGCGATGAAGCGACCCTCACCATCCCCCCTTCACTTCTGCCCCGAAACAGCCAGCCACAATCCCGCCCCCCACTGCCGCTTTTATTCGCCTATATCCAGAGCCGGCCGCCGAACAGTGACTGGGCGAGCACAACAAATCTTGATTGCCGATTGGACCTCCGAAATGTCAATTCGTGCGATGTTAGGTTGTTGCTAAGGCCTGGAAGGCTGTAGTCGCACCAGCCGCAGCAGCCCATTGGCCGAGTTAAAGTTGCACTTGGTTGACGCTTAACCAATCCCGAGGCGGGACTTTTTTGTAACGCAACTTTCTCGACGGACAACCGAAGCGTCCAACAGCGAGCCGAGCTGGGAGCATAATAAGGCGGGCTTTAAAGGATGACAGCCGCGTCACCCAATCAGCTTATCCAGTGGTAAAAAGAAGGTCTTATGTCGGCGCTGATTGGTTGTTGCCTTCTCCTGAAGGAGGAGGGGGAGGTTTGGAAGAGTTGATATGTCCACCATCTTGAAAAGTCGCTTATAGTGCTGAGCAATTTTCCCGCCTGACTGGATTAGGTTGTTTTCCGATATCAGGTAAAACTATTCGTTGTGTACGTTGTGAGCGGAGAGTCGCGGGGGCGGGAGGGAGCTGGTGGTCGTCTATCACCGAGCAAGCCGTGGAAGTTGTCCTCTGAGGGGCGCAGGGCTCCCTTTCGATACTGGTGCTGGGTATGGAGGCGAAGGGAGGGAGGGGAGTGTTTCCTCTAACGCAGCTAGTAAGGAGCCATTAGCTACCGGCCCCCTCTGTGTCAGAGCAGCGCTAGGCCTAGTTCTTCACCCTGTGGGATACGATGGGAGAACTCCTGCTGGGTCACAGGTCATTCGGCCCAGTCATGTTACTCCACTCCCCGGCCTGGCCTGATGAACTTGGATACACTTCAGGGGTTCATGCTCTTGTTATGGGGCCTACTGTGTAAAGACTGCAGGGGCCCTCATGTATCTTCCTGACAAAGATTTGCCTGCTCACATCCAATCGGATTAAAGCTGTTTGGCAGGTGACTGGAGTAGAGGGATTTAAAGTGCATGTCCACTTTCCCAGCCAAATTGGGATAACACCTACTTTGCAGCGTGTTTCCATTAACATAGCACCTACTTTATATTTTTTAGCGTGTTCCCATTCACATAACTCCTACTTTTTTGTAGTGTGTTCCCATTCACATAACGCCTACTTTTTTGTAGTGTGTTCCCATTCACATAGCGTGTTCCTATTCACATAGCGCCTACTTTATATTTGTAGCGTGTTCCTATTCACATGGCGCCTACTTTATATTTGTAGCGTGTTCCCATTCACATGGCGCCTACTTTTTGTAGCGTGTTCCCAGTCACATAGCACCTACTTATTTTGTAGCGTGTTCCCATTCACATAGCGTAACTTTTTAAAATTCTTTTATATTTTTTTTAATACTGATTACCATTTTAGTACTATATCAGCTGTTCAGTGTCTGCCTCCCCTCTCTGCCAGTCCTGTCATTAGCTCCCAGTCACCCAACAACTACAATTCTACATGCTAACAGCAACATACAAAGCCACCCACAACTCTGCCCTGAGAGACATAACCAACCTCGTCTCAAAATGTCGCCCTAACCGTCCTTTTTGCTACACCTATCATCTCCTGCACTGAAATCACATGGTCACCACCTTCTACAGTCACCTCCAGGACTTCTCTAGAGCTGCTTCTCTTCTCTGGAACTCCCTGCCCCAATCTGTCCGGCGCTTTCCTACTGGGTGATCTTTCAGAATTCATCTCTGTGGGTAATCCTGTCCCTCCTCTGCCTAACAACTCCAAATTTGTCCCTCACAGTTGATTCCTTTTGTATAATTTGCACTTCCCTTTTTAGATTGTAAGCAGTCTGAAGCAGGGCCCTCCTGACCCTCTTGCCTTTGTAGCTGTACTGTCTCCCTCCTCACTACTTGTCCATTCACAAAAGTCTTGTATTTAAAAAAAAATAAAAGGTGTTCTGTGATTGGTTAAGGGGCAGGGATGTGAAAATCGTAGAATGCCAGTAGACATAACAAGTGATGGGGAATTTCTGCTCAGTGAGGGGTATCCCCTCTTAGATGGCGGTCAACTATTTTTTTTTTTGCTCTGGTGGCAACCTAAAATGTTAGGTTTTCTCTTCCTTTTAGCTCTGGTGGCAGTGATTACCGGGACAAATCAAACGCAAATCTCCTTACCGGCAGTAAAAATCTGACGGGTTCCAGCCTCTCACCACTCTATTCAAAACGAAAATAAAACAAAAACAAATTGCTTTCAGAGACATTGACATTTTCTGCTGTCACAGACATGAGGTTTACGTCGGCAGCATCAGGGGGTCTGTAAACTGGTTCCAGTTTCTATAGCAGCTGGCAGTTTGTTTAAATTTTTTCTGCAGCCTGTTGGCTTTTTACTAGAAGTGATTTGGGAAGCTGTGCAGCCTGCAGAAGTTACCATCCCTCGCCCCCTGCTATGTATCCTAGGCTCCTGTACCCCTCCTGGGTGCCTGGGACATCCGTGGTGGGTGTCGTTGGGAAAAACAGAGCGAACCTGAGGCGCATTCGCTGATCATCCCTGCAGTGAAATAAACTAGGAGTGACGAGCTTTATGTTCTAGTTTCAGCATAGTGGCTGGAGAAAACGCTAATAAGCCATGATCTGTGCTTTATTAGCCTCAATGGATTGCAGAGGGGATAGTAGATGTCTAACAGACCCCTAAAGTCTCCTTTTAAGAGAACCTAGAGAAGTATGGACACCTGCACTCCCAATGCAAATCAAGTGCATCTGTTTATTGACATAGATGCAGCAAATCACCGTCAGTGCAACGTTTCTGGGTCACGCAGGATCCCCTTCCTTCGGCAGGACATGTGGCGATCATGTGAGGATCCTGCGTGACCTAGAAACATTGCACTGACTGGGATTTGCTTGATCTATCTCAATAAACAGACGCATTTCATTTGCTTTTAGAGTGCCGCTGTCCATACTTCTCTGCGCTTTGACGGTTGCCATCCGTCGGCTACCGTCGCACCCACGTAATCTACATGGGGGAAAAAGAAGTCAGGAGTGCAATGGGTTCATGGATGGTTACTTTGAGAACCTGCCACGCCAACTGTGCTATCACATTGGTGGCAATAAAGGAAAAATTGTATTAAAATCTCACACTTTTTAAAAATATTTAATCCAGATCAAACAAATATTCATTGTCCTGCAACACATTTCTTTAAATATCTGCCCGAGCACTTAGTTATCAGGTTTCTGAACAGCTCCAACTCTCCCAGCTTGGCTTCCTTGAACCTCCTGTCCAGTACAAGATCACAAGGGACAGAACTGTTTCCTGCAGCTGTCCATCTACTAGCTCGGAGAAGGGAGGTATTAGAAGTAGGGGTGTCTTGCCTTGCTGTGTTTGTGACACACATAGGACCCTGAAAGGGAAAGGAGCCACCCTAAAACAGGATATCGGGACCAGTGATCATGGGACCAGCTGATTCTGCAGGAAACTAACAGGGCTATTCACAAAATGGGTGAAGAGTTTGGAGAAGGCAGGAGAAGGGAACAATCTCTAGGACAACATAGCTGAATTGGAGAATTTTTCAGGTTCAGCTCTGTTGTCCTAGATTGTTCCCTTCTCCTGCCTTCTCCATACTCTTCACCTTTTAGTGACTAGCCCTGTAGTGCTTATAAAAAAAAGGAGCGGCATTCATTGTTAGTGTTTTAATTAACATTTGAAATGTCTTAAAAACATTTTGACTTTAATATGACATGCACATCTGAAAGAATGCTGGGACCTGTAGTGCTGTGGTATATGGGAAAAGTCTAAAGATTAGTATAATACAATCTATTTAATCACATGTGAAACATACGAGTGGGGATTGATCGGAATAGTGCAGTGGGGGGTCATACTGTTTTTTTTTCTAATTATTGTGATTTGGCTTGAATGTGTGTGTCAGATCATACATATTATGGGAGATCTAATCTTTTAGGCAGTACTTTTTATGATCCTGTTGTCGGTTATTTTGATTGCTGTATGTGACGGTGTTGCATGAAATGTACAATATTAATGAGACTCTGTATTTAGAATAAAATAACATTGGTGCTGTAAAGTCTTGTTTAGTTACTGTCATGCTGCAGTCATGTGATATTGTTATGTTGGAGTTTCAGGTGTTTGTGTTCAGATTTATAATTCTGCCCACACACGGGATTGCCTTTTCACTTGTGCTTTTCTTTTTTTGTTCTTTCATTTAAGTGGTATTGGCCTTTATGATTCACGGGTGGCTAATGTAACACTGGAAACATTTGTTTAAATTGTATGACATTGTCGTGGAATCGTATAAGTCACCTAAATACTCCTGGTTCAGTTTCTTTCTTTCCCTTACAGCGTCAGGTTGGCTCATTCAAGCAATGATCCGATCGTAACTAGAACTTTCAAGCCTCCATGTTTGTGTGTCAATATTTTGCTGTGTGCTTTCCAAGAAAGTTGATGTTTTGGCCAACTGCGTTTTAGCAAATAATAACTTTGGGCTTGTTGACATCTAGGATGTTGCCACGCATTTCACAATATACGCATGAAAATCCCATTTATTTACAGTGCACACTCTGCATGTAGCACTTCTTGTATACAAATGCAGGATTAGTTAATCTGCTCTGTAGTATGAATGAGCTCTTAGTTTACTAAAGCTTGTTTTACAGTATTGAGGTATGGTTCTTCTTTAGGATACATGTGTCTGAGTTTGTGGAACATTACTGCAATAATCCATTATGTGACAAACCTTCACATTACAAGAAGTATATACACAGACCTCCTTTAGTCAGATGTGGTGATTTGTTTTGATTCTACTGGATTTTATTTGCTTGTTTTTAAATATTGGGATATTCTGGTCTTTGGGAGACTTTAATTTGGATGATGTTTGTTCTGACATTACGGCCTTGTTTACACCAAGCGCAGAGCAGTTGCAGACCGGATCAAAACTGCGTCCAATGTATTCCAATGGTATTTCTTGCTCCAGTTCACATCGCAGCGTTCCGTTCCAGAGCAGGTGAAAAAACTGCAGCAAGCCCTATTTTACCTGCTCTGGAATGCATGCAAATGCATCAAAAACACATGCAAATGCCTGGAACACAAAGAAAGCCCATGTTAAACTAAAAATATATATATTTTTTTTTAATCAAAAACGTGGCACAGCCCAGTGCACTGCGTGCAGAAACCTGAGCGGATCTGCTCTGCATTTGGTGTGAACAAGGCCTAACAGCTACTTGGTAGTTTTTGTTGGTTGCTGACAGATCTAAATGATTCTCGCCCCAGTTAGTCACATCAGGGAATAAGTATGTCTTTTGGTGCACCATCATTTCTCCTAATGCCAGGTGTACTCTGGTGAAGAATCAAGCAACCAATGTGAATCTTCCTAGTGAGAATAACGGCTGCATGGAAGTCCTCCTGCCCTTTTTTTCTTTTCACTGCTATAGAAATAAAAATTCTTGCTTGGCCAATCTCTGGGAAAGATATTTGTGTCTGCGTACCCATCTGCAGTCTCACTGCTGATAAATTAGTTGTTTAAAACCTAAGA